CCCCAAAACCCCAAAACCCCAAAACCCCAAAACCCCAAAACCCCTTTAGTGGAGAATTATGTGGAAATTATATTTTTTCAGGGTTTTTATAAACCCTTTCCATCTTTTTCTCATAGTTTTGGTAGTTGTTAGTCTTGCTGATCGATCTCTTCCTGGAAGTATTACTCTTATTGGCAATACTACGTCTGTGGTTAGGTTTTGAGCCATCTTTATAAGATTTAGAAAAATCATTAAATATTGATCCTTTCTTTTTACGATTGTCTAATGTCCTAGCCAAGATCTCCTTCTGGATCTGGGAGAATTTCTCTGTGGCATCATTCTTGTAGTATTCGATCTTACTATTGGTCCCAGGGGACCTCATTGGCTTGAGCTTATTCTTTCCTCAGAATGTCTTCCTATGGGTTGAGTGGTGTCTCGGATTTGCTACAAATATATCACAAGGCTTACTCTTAGCAGGATCAGTCAAATTTATAGTATCCTTATCCAAATTATAAGGAAATTTTGGATAAGGGGTTACAAAATGAGATTTTAGCTTCTCTTCATAAATCTTATCATAAAGATCTTTGGTTGTCTTTTTGATTTCACTGATGAATCTTTTTTGTGGCATTGGGCTTTTCTTGACGCTATAATACTTGATCTGACTCTTTGCTCTTCTGGAGGAGTTGAAGGAAGCCTCACTTTCTCTTGGAGTTATTGTTTTAAGGGCAGACCCTCCTGTTGATAGTTTAGACTGAATGATATCAGCATTCTTGACTAGTCTCTTCTGCCTTCTTAAGTCTAGTTTATGGAACGGAAAGCCTCTTTCCATACCAAGTTCTTTGTCCAAATTCTTAGAGAATTTACCCGAAAGGCCAGTGAAATTATTCTTTTTCCAAGCATCGAGGTGTAAAATAGTGTCTTTATGGTTCCCTTTGATACTTGAGTTCTCTCTCAGCCGAGTCGACTCCCAGCCAATCTGTGTAATGCCAAAGCTGCTCTTATTAGGAATATACGAAGAAATTTGCCTCTCTTTGAGATAGTCTAGAGGCCTATTAGAGATATTTCGCAACTTGTTAAAATCCATAATTTTTATTTACAAAAATAAAAGATGGGGTTTTGGGGTTTTGGGGTTTTGGGGTTTTGGGG